GTACACAGGAAGAAGGAGCTACTCCACAGGGGGCGTGTCTACATGAGACGCTTAATGCGCATTAGCCTAATAACACTGTGCAGTAGCATGCCGGGCAAAAACTGTGCTAATACACTACTGCACAGTAGTATTAGGCTACTGGGCAATGAGCATCACAAAAACACTGTTAGCTGCTGGTACTGCGCAGTAATTATAGTTACTGCATGTTGTGTAAGCAAGTACTAAACTAAATGCACAGTAACTATTGCACATTAATGAATGTGTAGACGTGCCTAGGGTGAAATAATTTTACTCAAGAGATGGGGGAACAGGGATGGGATTGTGAGTTGTCGTGGGCTTTCTGATCTGCTTCTGGGGCTGATTTATGCACCAGCCCTGACTGGGGACAGACAGTAGGGACTTGTCGATGCCACATCCCCTACTGAGCCCAGAAATTTAGCTGAGAAATGCTCCCAACCCGTTCATCCCCACGTTGCGTGGGCAAAACCCCAGCTACAAGGAGGAGTAGCTGCTTTAAAGAGCTACTAGCATGTGCACACAGGTGTGCCCAAGGTGGAGTCTGGTGCTGTCTAAAGCAGCTAATCTCCAGAATTTGGCCTGCCCAGGGTGGGAAAGAGGGAGTGGGACGTGTTTCTCAGCGTAGAGGTGGTGGAAGGTCTGCTCCATTTCATGGGACACCCCAAAACACTTTTTATAATTGTTGCACGTCTTTCTGCAAGTTGGAAGCATTGGTACAGGCTCCTTAATGGGGACTTAAACAGACGGTAGAGGCATGGAAGTGCTTGGTCTTCCTTAGAACAGGAAAAAAACTTGGAGAGAAGACCCAGCACACAGCTGTAAGGAAAGCCGTTTTTCCCCCCTTCCCCCCCATTTTTAACGTAGTATTTCTCATAGCACTGTGCATAAAAGAATTAGAGAGCAGTTCATTATACAGTGTATCAATTTGAGTCTAATACTAATTAAAAGCTTTCCTTTCACTTCAGTGAAACCTATTCTTAGAAATTATGTAAATTAATTGGAGTTTTGAAGAGAAGCATATGCCATATCCTAACTAATTCCCTCTGGACCAAGGCAATCAGTGCATTGGAACTGGAGGGCTTGTATTTTGGATCCTTAATTTCTTTTTTCCCTATTTCAGCAGTAAAAATGTATTACAAGACTCTTCTTTTTTGTGAAGAGTGATGATATTGTTTCATAAGTGTCTGGGGTCTTACTCATCTCAGCGGATGGTGGAAAGGCTTCTTGTCCAAGAAAAAAATCTTAGAATCAAAAAGAATCTCAGAAAAATTAGATACATGCCATTCATCATTGACAGCACCTTTCTTGTAGCATCATTCCAATCCTGCCCACCCCCCAAAATCCCTGCTCTTAATGTTGTGACTCCCAAAATGAGTGAATTGTCATATATTTCATGAAGTCTTCTAGGACCTTCATTATTTATTCTTATGTAGAGGATTCTCCGATGTGCTAACGATAGGTCACGAAGTAAGACAGAGATAAGATAGTGAATGCCCTCAACAGCAGGAAGAAGTGGAATTTAATATCTTGTGAAATAAAACTACTTTAGCTATTATTAGATATTTTTATAGTATCTTTTTGATTTTTGAATGATTTTTTTCTTTTAGAAAAGCAGCAAAATAGAACCAAAGAAATGGTTTTAGACCTGGATTCAAAGGGGATTGGGCATGTTCATGGAGGATGATCTGTAGGGTGCAGCTTCCAAGGGAGGACTACCTAGCCTTTGAATTCTGGAAGCTGTAGGGAGGAGAGGGGTAGGGGACAGATCAATCTGGATAGGCTTTGCTTAAATACCCTCCCCTTCAGCATCCACTGTGTGCCACTGTGAGATAGTGGGCTAGATGGATCTGTGGGCTAACCCAGTAGGACGTTTCTTATGGTCTTATGTAGAAAACGCTAAGCACCATATTTAGATATTTCATTCTTGATTAAGAAAACTGCAAACGTGGACTGACCTTTAAGCATAGTAGTAGCTCCACTGAGGTCAGCATGTGGATTCCCCATGTTAAGCATTTAAAATTAAGCCTGTGTTCAGCTGCTTTCCATGATCTGGTCTTGAATGGTGCTGAAGCTTGTGATGGACTTGAACCCCATACCCTGGGTCTGAGATGAAGGTGTTGCAATCTAAATCTAGTTCCAGATATGCATTTAACCAAAGGGTCCCTGTCTTCATAATCTGAATCAAAGGGCTGGGGTGTTCAAAATGCAATTCCAGAGCTTACCACAGGGCCCTATATCTCTACTGGACATAATCTTGGCGCTCCCGCATTGGAAGGACTACAAAATTTAGAACTGCAGTTGGGTCTGGGTTTTGCATCCCACCTGCCACCCTAATGAACTCGATGGGGCCACTCTTAAAAGAATGCCTTGCTTGGGGGGTGCATTTACACGAGATGCTAGAAGTGCAGTAGACTAATTGTACTGTGCATTAGTGCGTCACGGTGAAAGCCATGCAAATGCGCTAATCTAGAGTAGAATTAGTCTACTGTGCACTAGTGTCACGTAAAAGATGTGTGCCGGTGTTTTTGCTCAGTAGTGCTGATTACGGTGCATTGTTAGTACCTGTTATTACAGGTACTAAATTTAATATGTTGTAATTGCACTGCATTAATGCATGTGTAGACATGCCCAGCATACACAGATGGCAGTAGACTCTCAGCCTCTAAGAGCGAGCAAGACTGATGTGCTGCTCTGGAGAGCGCTAACCAGAAAGTTGTATGGCTTCAAAGATACAGTGGGCTTCAAGGACCCCTGGGCTCTCTTTCTTTCTCAGCCATTAATTCACTGAGTAGCTTTGGGCAATTAATATAAACTTCCTCAGTTTTTCTGTCTATGTAATGGCAAGCATAATGCCTGCCCTGCAGTGAAGCTAAACCCATTAAGATTTTTAGAGTACTTTTTGATCCTCAGATAAAAGGTATTGTAGGAGTGCAAAGATGAGTAAGATAAAAACAGCAATTCTTCAGCCTGTGATAAAGGTTGTGAAATCCTTTTTCTAGTGTCACTGGAAACATAAGTTCCTCAAAATAGAAACTGTTAAATCTACAAGTAAAGACAGTTCTACGGGGGGAAAAATAATGACCTACAATGTTGAATCAATATAAAACCACTTTAGGACAAGAATTTAATGTATAGTGGTGAAGGTAAATGGAATGACATTGCCAGCTGCTGTTAGATGGTAAGTTTTCCCTGTGCAATTTGGAGTCCAGTGCATTTTTTAAAATACAATAATGCCACTTTTCCAGGGGCTGTGCTGGTGAATACATGGATGGTTCAGAGATACTATCTCACGCTAGAAGGGAGATCGCTGTTCCTCTAATACAACTGAAATGTGATCCTTATGCTAAATTATTCCTTGGGATTATACCTCTGATGTCATTTTTTTGTCAAGAGTATATATCTGTATACATAATGGGAAACAGACCTGCTGGAGTCTTGAGCAAGATAAATCCATGGCATCGTTTGAGTTTGGCTGAGATTTTTAAGAGCAAACACCTGATTCTTGTTATAAATGAATTCCCTGGACATTTTGGCAACCCCCAAGTGGACATTTTTGGCCCCCTCCCCCTCTACATCTCACATGCACAAATTCAGGTGGCTCTTTTAGGTCCACCTTCTGCCCTTTTGTTCACGCAGCTTGTAACGACTATAACAAGTGGGATTGCATCTATTCATTTGCTTGCTAGATTTATATGCTACCCTCCCAAAAAAGGCCTGGGGTGACTTATTAAAAAAAACAAACCCCAGATGAATTATAAAGACAGATAAAAATATTAAAATTAAATAATATGTAATAGAGTAGATACTCCAGGCAGTGCTCCAAAACTTAATCCTGCCCAAATAAAAGGTTTTTCCACTGCTTTTGGAAGATGTCCAGGCTTGGGCTCTAATGGACCACAAGGGGTGTTTACAACGCTAAGAAGAAACTACCAAGAATGACCTCCCGAAAGTTTTGGCCAAATGAACTTGGTGCACAGATGGTACTTGCAGGAGGTTGCTCTCAGCTGACCTTAGGGATCACAACATCATGGAGAAGGTGGTCCCTTAGACGCGTAGGGCCCAGACTGCTTATGGCCGTATAGATCAATACCAGCACCTTGAGTTACGCCCGGAAAGCAACCGGAAGCAAGTGCCTTCCCACGTCTCAGCTGCTAGTGGGCATGATTTTGCTCCCTGGCCCTGATCCTTGGAAACGGACAGGGTAGGGGAAGGGCTCAGATGCATCTTTAAGCCACCTTTGCTGTTCGTATCTTCTGGTGCCGCGGAGGAGTCTGCCCAGTCCCCAGCTTAACACAGAGTTGATCAGGACTTTTCTAATCTGTGTTCAGCCTTACGATGTGGGCTCTGAGAAGCAGAAAAGCCATCGTGCAATGTGATGTTTTCTGTGGCCACACTTGTGCTATGCACCTCACCTGTACCTTACCCCACCATCCATGCTGATGACTGAGCCCTTAGGCCCTGTAAGGAGATTCTAGGTGGGAGATATTCCCCGAGAGGCCATGGTTGCACTGGTTAAGATCCCAGCGTGCTGCCAGAGGGGGCCTTTGTGTGAATGAAGAGCTTGTGGTCACAACGATCAGCTCAAGAGCTCACCTCTCATGATCAGGACCTGCTGGGATCCAGTTAGAAACCACAGGTGAAACCAGTGGCAGCTGGGGCTGCTTGAGGAATAGAGGGTTTGGTGCAGAATTACTCCCCCTCCCCCTCCCCCTTTACATTTGTATGTGAACTCCTCTCCTAGTTAGTGTTAAAAGTTTCTACTGCAATTCTGATTTTTGTTAAAACCGCCCGCCTGGAGAAAGCGCTCAAAGCTGCAGACCAGCATGTTAATTAGATATGGGAGGAAATGCAGGCAAATTCATTAACTCAGGCAAGCGGCCTCTATGTACAATAAAACACCAGGGCACTTCCCCTTAATAACTCCTCAGCTGGCGGATGGTGAGACTGATGCACAGGTTGGTTTGTCTCCTCTCCGCACGCAGGATCATGCTGATTTGAGGAGCCACTTCTTCACAGTGGGGATGAAGCTAGAGGCAGTGAACATGAGGGAACCCTTTACTATGTGTCCTGCATCAGTGACTAAGGTGAGTTTTCGGAGCAGGGACTAGGAATAACCTGCTGGAATCGAACAGACGGTTCAGAACCGGCGTATTTAAATTACCACCACGTGAAACTCCATTAACCGGAGGTCAGGACAATAAATGCACGCTAACACACCCTTGCCCTTCACCTTCTCTCTCAGTGCATCATCCATGTAGTTTTATTCCACTGGTCACCACGTGGTGGTTAAGTGCCCGTAGACTTACAGGTAGTAGTGGCCTGGTATGTGCAGATTTCCCTTAAGGAGGAGGAAATGCCCTCTGTAGCAATTCGACCTCAGGCCATGCAGAAAGCACTGGGTTTGTGAGAGCCCCCTGTACTAGGGGAGCCTTTGACGCATGCATTTGTCCCCTGCAGCCTTGCAGTGGGGTGGATACAGGAGAGGTCCATGTTGGTGGCCTTTATAGCCTCTGGAGGGAAGGAGAGAGAGGAGAAATAGGAGGCGCTTGGCTGTTGGACTAGATGACCCTGATGGTCCTTTCCAACCTTATGATTCTGTAATTGTATCCATCATATCTTTCTAGGACCTCTTTCTTTAGCCAGCTGTTTCTTACCCCGGAGAAGGTAACCCTTCCTCATCCGGCTCATACAACTGTGTAACAGAGCACCCACTCCCCAGTAGCCTTGTGTGTAGCAACAATGCAAAGGTGGTGTTTGCTGATTTGAGGACTGGCCCATTAACCCCCACTTCGCCTGCTCCTGTTACTGAGTTTCACTGTTTAGGCGCTTTAGGGTCTGTTATAACTAAGTGTATTTGCTCCCGGAGAAACGCCGTTGTGTGGCATCCCTATCGGACCCCCCAAAAACAAGAGCATCTGTCTGCATTGACTCTGCAGCTCTCCTCCTCGAAGCAGGCACCATTGCACCTTCACCTGGTAATTAAAGCAAGGCTCAGACTAGCCTGCAAGCATGCTAGCTGTGCTAAAGGCACTGTATGGACTGGAAGCCTCTGAACAGTGCTGGAAATTCATTCGTTAGGAGGTGGCTTTGGAAAGTCGCATACCATTTCTGCTGCCGGTATGAAGGCCTGGTCCTCAGCTTGGCTGGATGCATCCCCTTACGACTGTGGTTGTGGAATTGCTAATCCACACATCTCCTGCTTGGGCATGATCCTGCACTTCAGTGTCAGCCGATGCAGGAACAGATTTATAAGTCGGCAAGGAGGAAGGAGGGCTTTGCCGTTTCCAGCCTCAAATGAGCTATGATCTATTCCAAGACAATTCAGACGTCTCCTGGAGGATCAGAAACTGCGCCCTGTTGCTGATGGGTTGCACTGAGTCAGTATTCACCTTAAAAAAAAAAACATTAGTGCACGTGTTGTTAACTACCTGGGTTAAAGTGATTACCAACATGCTGGAGATGACACACGGCTTCCTTCTTCCCGCGCTGAGACGTGGCCTTCTTTGTGGCATCCTGACGAAGTCAGATGAAGCTAGCTTTGAATGGCCCATCCTAAATGGGACTGGCCCAGAGGGTGAAAGTCACCCCAGTACAGGAGATCCAGCACAGCCTTATGTGCCACTTAAAGCCTGTTCCAGCCCTGTTTGGAGCAGGAGTTAAATGCTCCACTGGCCTGGGTTAATTCTCTGCACAGAAGTGTGTTTCATCCAGGCCAGAGTCCTAATTGATAAAGCTTATGGTTTTGTACCTTGCTATGGAGCTGCAGTAGCCAATGATCATTTCATTTATAGAGGCGCTTTGGCTGGTATACACCAAACTGTGTCCAGATGAGGCCTCGTGACTGCTGGCTACAGTACTGGCTTGGGTTCTGTGTTTGGCTCACCTCAAACACATTAATTCACCTCCTAAGACCTCAGTTTTCCCATCTACAAAATGCAAACAGTGGTGCTGATGTATTTTTAGGTGCTTTGAGATCTATGGATGAAATGGGCTAGAAAACAGCTAGGTGCTATTATGTGAGTTAATAACCAGTCTTAGGCATTTGATTTTTTTAAATCAAATGCCTGGGCCTGCTTGATTGTTCTGATGTGACAGCCAACTAACGGTTGAATTTGTTTTCTTACCTCCAGGTTTTTAACAATCACTATTTACAAGTGACCATTGATGACTTGAGACCTGAAGCTAGCAAAATCTCAATGCTTTGCCATGCCGATTCCTTAGGGATCTTACCAGTACAGTGGTGCCTTAAAAATGGAGTCAATCTCACGCCTCCCAAGGGTTTGTATTAACTGTGATTTTCGGTGTTGTTGTTTTCCCCTCCCTACCAAAGGACAAATTAATTTCTTTGTCACCTTAAAAGCCATGTTGCAGTTTAAAACAGAAAATAGTGTACTAACAGCCTGAAATTATTAGGGTGTTTTAAAACACTGTTGTTATGGTGAACCCTGTGGGCCAAGTCTGGTGCTAGCATAAATCGGCATAGTGCCATCGATGGCATGGGAGCTGCAGGTGAGCTGTCTGTGGAACTGGTTTCATACATTGGCTTGAGCAGTGTCCGTCTTACTGACAGGGATTAAAAAGTCCAGTGAATTCCTGTGATCTGAACTTTGATTGTATTTAACGTGTTATGCTAGAAGGGCTCCAGGAACATTGAAGGCCGTGTTCTGCTCCCCTTTATCGTCCGCTGCTTAGAAAGGGAGGATGTCCGCTGGTAAGGACACTTGCCAGGTAGTTGAAAAACGTAGTTGTAGGTCTCTGTTCCATGAAAGACTTCTTGGTTGATCTTGGGAAGGCACCTGAGTGGACGACCAAAGTGCAGTTTGCAGCCAACTATGAGTTACCCAACTGAAATGCAAGAATGGTCTCCCCACCTCTTCTGGGCATTCCTATGCATGCCACTGCTATAGGAATCAGGAGAGATCTGCGTCTCTCTGAAGGGTGACCCTATTCCTATAATTGCAGCACTTGTATGCCGAGAGCGGGTAATAGAGTCGCTCTTACATTTTAGTCAGATATCTCCAAGTTGAATCTCAAGTTGGTTTTTTTTGGTCATCCAATAGGTGAAACAGAGTTCTGTCCTTAATTGTTCTGTGCCTTCATTTGTAAAGGAACAATAGCACTTTCTTACCTCCCTGGTTTTTGACATAATCAGATACTATAGCAATAGGAGCCACCTAAGATGGCTACATAGGGTATAGTGCATTTCAGAGGGTCCATTTTACAGATACCGGCTTCTCTGCATCTCAGCACGATGGTGGCTGGGTGGAGGTGAGTTGGAAGTACCACTAGGATTAGAGCACCACATAAAAAAAAAAAACATATTTCTGACAAAATCTGACAACTTTGGAAATTTGGAGTTTTTTCCCATTTTTGTTTTTGGTTTAATCCAACTTCATAAAAGCTGCATACGCCCACTCGGTTATTTCTTCTTCTGGGGGAGAGTGGTACAACTTTGGAAATTCTCCAGTCCTGTTTTAATAACGTGTTGGCCAGGATGCCCAAATTTGGCAACATAGGTCATTGTGTAAAATAGATCAAAATCAGAGATGTTAGTTTTTCCCTAACATTTTGTGCATGAGATTTTATTTTAATTTGCGGGGGGAAGGAAAAAATGAAAACTTGCCGTGGTTTCTAGCAGTGTAACTTGTTATTCCATGATGACACTAATACTATGGCCGAGTCAAAAGTCTGCTTTCTCTGGGTTTGGTCGTGTGAGGCACCAAACCCTGGTAGAAATCCAGTGAAACTCTAAAGCATATGCTTTGTTTGAAGCTCACTCTGAAGTCAGTGGCAGCTCTGTGCTTGCAGCTGCACACCAAATGTAGCCCTTATTATTCTGCTAGTTGTAGTGGAAAAAAATTGCCCTCTTGACACTTATCCTCAATACAACGTGCAATGGAGGTGTTAGAAGGCAGCATGTATTTAAGTGCTCATAACTGTCCATTATGAAAACACAGCTCCTTAAAAGAATAGGTGAGCTTAACCCCCCCTACAAACAGGGTCTGACCCACAAGCCTAATATATGGATGTTGGTAGGCTTTGGTTGGGTCTATAGATGCAAATTCTGTATACAATGTATTATTGTGCTAAAACCTACTGGTCTCTGCTGGCAATGGGGCATTATAGGTAGGGTGTGCCCTACCCATAGGTCACTATAGGTAGCGCCTCCTCCACAGGCATATAATTTTACCTAAATAGTCCAGACGGACTGAAGAGACACGGAGACTAATCCAGAGATTTGCAGCTCATCAGTGGAAAAGCCCAGCCTAAAAACCAGGCCGTGTTCTGATTTTAATCCCGGACAGGATGTTGCTTACTCTCCACTTTACTATTAATGAATCCTTGGGTTTGATTTATCCACTCTGTTTTGATCAGGACATTCAGAACTGGTTAATTAACTAATGCAGAAGACAGGCTATATATCACTGTCCTTGGCAGCTGTTGCTTCGTAACTTCCACCGTATGCCTTTAGAGTTCAGAGCAAGACCATATGATCTGGAGTTTTATGATTCGGGTTGGCACAGTTCTGCCTACAGTGCCAAACTTTGCAGATCTGGCAGCAGCCCATTTGTACCCTTCACCTGAATAATTCCTCTCCTTGTCCAAAAAATGTTAAAGGAAGGAATGGATGAATAGCATCATTTCTAGTAATCTTGGATTCACTAAGGCTCTTGAGGAAGTACTGGCAGTCCTCCTTAATAAAGTCCTAGAAACAAACACACACATACATAGGAGCCATGCTATAGCAGTACATAAAGTCTCTCGGCTGCTGTTAAATCAAGGATCCCGAAGAAAAAAAAAAGAAAAAAAAGACCTAGAGAAGATGGCATATATCCAGTATACTAAGACATCCCTTCTAGTGTGTGATGGCTTCATGCCCAAAATGCACCTTTACACCTTGGCTTTCCACAGCCTTCTGATCTGAAGAGTCGCTCAAGTGTGATCAGAGATGTGAGCAATTCCTAAATTCCTGATTTAAAAAAAAAGAAAAAAAGATGGAAAAGAAAGAGTATCCAAACTGGCAAAGGGATTTGGAAGAACTTGCAGCAGTGCATGAAGCTCTGATCCGTTCTGAACAGGACGCTATCAAGTTGGAGCAGCTAACAAACAATTTAAAGAAACAGTTGCAGCAGAGTATAAAAGGGCTGGACAGCTACAGAAATGAAGTCTTCAAAGTAAAGATGACAATGGTATAAGCAGAATAAAAATGGAATATACCTCCTCCACAACTGGATGAAGGTCTCGCCTTGGTGGGTTATTCTGCTTGCCCTGCAAATGGCAGAGATGTCTCTTCTATTAGACTGACCTGCTTCCTCGTGATTCTGTGCTGAGAAATTTCTGGCCAGGATCGTTCTACTGAAGATATTCGCTGCTGAGGAAATGTCCATCAGGGAGGCAAGTCCATGAATGCAGCACGTTCAAGAGGAGCTGAGGGTGCAACCCCACAAATGCGACTTTCTTCTCTATCAAAGGCATCTACATTCATCTCGTCCTGGATCTGGACTCTGCCTCACCTGGAATGAAGATACGGTTCTTTTGCTTACAATATTATCTCAGTGTCATTGTCCAGCCAAGAGTTTTATAGGAGAAAGGAGTAGTTTGTTCTACCAGAAATAGTACAGCCAAGTTGGTTGTTCAGGGTCAGATTGATTTTTGCAATTCCTATGTATATTGGACCTTTTATAAAGCAGAGCTCGCACATGTACAGGACTTGAGGCATGAGCAGGAGGTGTAAACATTTTCGGCTACAAATAGAGCCGTATATTTCAATGTAGTGCCAAAAATGAATACCCATTTACTACCACTGTATAAACATTGAACAGGCACTGTTTATATTTATTAGAGCTGGATTTATAGACCACTTCCATTTAGAGTAACAGCCATTGTTCCTTTTTATGAGCTATTAAGAGAGGGAAAAACATTTCAGTGGAGTGACTAGTGGTTATGTTTGCTAAAAAATGCCACCTTTTAAAACTATCAATACATTTGTGGTGTTACATTCACTTCTCATCAGACCAACTAGGCTCTTACAGACTTGTAAAGTCAATTGAGTAGTGGAGATTTTTTGCATGTTTTGTGGGCAGCATGTGAAATGCCCTAGCAAAGTGTGCATTCAGCTGGGTCACTGAGTGACAGTATTTGGACTGTCCACTGTTACAGTACTGAATCTTAATACTAGCGATTTGTGGCGCACTCTTTTGTAGTTTCATAGATTTCACAGACATTAGGGCTGGACGGGACCTTGAAGTTCATCAAGTCCAGCCCCCCGCCCCAGGGGCAGGAAGTCAGCTAGGGTCAAAGGATCCCAGCAAGATAAGCATCCAAACGTTTCGTGAATGAGTCCGGAGTAGGTACGTGCACCTCTTCTGGAGGGAGTCTATTCCAGGCCTTGGGAGCTCAGACAGTAAAGAAGTAGTGCTCTGTGCATTTACTGCTCCTCCAGCGGTAGTCAAGAGCAAAGCTTGATTGCAGTGGTGCAAGATCAGGCTGGAAGGTGATTGTGTGATGGCCTAGAGTTCATAGACATTAGGGCTGGAAGGGACCTCACGAGATTATTGGGTCCAGCCCCCCGCCCAAGGGGCAGGAAGTCAGCCGGTGTCAGATCACTGCAGCGAGATAAGCATCCCAGCGTTTCTTAAAGGTATCCAGAGTAGGTGATTGCACCACTTTTGGGGGGAGTTTATTCCAGATCCTGGAGACTTGGATGATAAAGAAGTTTTTCCTTATGTCCAGTCTAAAGTGGTCTTCCAGCAGTTTGTAACCATTAGACCTCGTCTTCCCTTGGGGTGCTCTGGTGAACAGGTGTTCCCCCAGATCCTGATGCACACCCCTGATGTACTTACAGGCTGCCACCAAGTCACCCCCAAGCCTGCCCTTGTCCAGGCTGAAGAGTCCCATGCCTCTGAGTCTCTCCTCATCAGGCTTGCTCTCTTGACCTCTTATCACTCACATGGCTCTCCTCTGGACTCTCTCAAGCATCTCAACATCCTTCCTGAATTGTGGAGCCCAGAATTGGATGCAGTACTCCAGCTCATCAAGGCCAAGTATAGCAGGAGGATGACTTCTTGGGTTTTGCTCAAGATGCATCGGTAGATGCGAGCCAGAGTTTTATTTGCTTTGCCAGCTGCGGCATTGCACTGGTGGCTCACGTTCATTTTGTGATCAGTCATGACCCCCAAGCCTCTTTCGGTCATGGTGCTAGTGAGTGTAGCACTGCTGAGCCTATAAGTGTGATGTGGGTTTTTTTTGACCTTTTTACAACCTTCTTTGTACCTCAC